CCCCCCCCACTCTAACTTTTGGAGAAGCTTGAAAATGATTGATTTACCCTTTGAATGTGTGACTCCAGCAGTGACTCTGCCAGATCCAGGCCTCTTTTATCACAGAGCCTTTTTATGATTAAGGGATTCCGTCTCCTTACTTGGTTTAAGCCTGAGCACACTTTGTTTATGATTCAGTCTGAGGAGGACTAATGTCTAGGTTACCCACCTTGTCACTCTGGCACTCTCCCACTATCCTTCCTATTCTCTGGTATGCCATATCTTTGCCTTCTGATTTGCATGTTCTACTTACTTTCCACTTTAACTACAGATTTGTCATCCTGTTACTTTTTTTTTTAAATCTCTGTCTTATTCATCCTTATCCTTGTCATTTGTCTTTCTTTACTCTTGTCTGAAATTATGTCTTTTCTTTTTTCGGCCTTTGGTTTTGGATTATTCTCTTTTTAGGACCCAACTAAAATAAGTGCATGTAGTATGCACACAGGTCCACCCGCATAAGCTGTTTTAGGACTCTGCATTTTATCCTCAAGTAAATAGAAGTCACCTCTCCATCAGCATGTGTCCACATATAAAATCTAATCGAGGGACAGCAAGCACTTGATACTGCTGGAAGCTTATGAACGTTCTGGAAATCAGTCACTGCAAGCATTATCTCACCCAAGTTGTTATGGTGTAGTTCACATTTCCACTGGCAGCAGGTCCTGCTTAATTACAGAAAAACATTTCACCATTGAACTCAGTGGAACCCTCCATAAACAACAAAGCAAGATTGTGTGTGTGTGTGTGTGTGTGTGTGTGTGTGTGTGTGTGTGTTGTGTGTGTGTGTGTGTGTGTGTGTGTGTTGGAAGGGACTGGGGACCTACCTGCTTGCCTGGTTTGCTGTTGGGAGGCAGAGTTCCCACTGAATCCTGGCTCCTTTCCACCATTCATTGGCAGTTGCACCTTTGTCTGGCTCAGTTTACATTTTATGAATAATAACAATTAAAGCAGACAGTGCCTTCTCTCTCCCTGCCTGAAAACCATCCCCACGGAGTTGTTGTAACTTTCTGGAAGTGAATATACTCAAAGCTCTGATTAAAGTTTGTTTCTTTCCTCCAGAAACAAGGTTGTTGCTATTTTAGCACACCCTTTTGCAGATATTTTTGATATGCTGGCATAAAAGAAACCTGGCTGTTAGATCACAGATTTCAGGTCCAATTATAGAGGATGGCATGAGTCTCCAGTTAGTGAGGGGGCATGAGACATGGGAGCAGAGAGACAGATGCCACACAGAAAGCATTCTCCACAGTTCTGTCCTGTGCATTGGCAGTAGAAGCCTTGGATCACAGGTAGGTAGGACTCAGGGATGTGAAAGTGTGATACTTACTTTAGGGCCAAACCTGGAGTCCAGTGTTTTCCACCTATGATTTGTGCTGCAAGGTAGCATGTTGTACTCGATTTTTGTAGACTTTTGGGTTAATCCTTTAAAATAGGAGCAGAAATCTGTATGTTATATATTTTTCAATTAATACATTAAAATTTTAATTTTATTAAAAATACAGCTTTATCTTATTGACTTTGCATTGCAGATGCAGAAGCTTCCCCATCAGAATCAACGCCAGAGGAGCTCAAATAACCCTGGATGTGCTATCTAGGACACCCTTTTTAGTTGCTATCTGTAGCGCGACAACGGGCAGCTATACAGGCTCCCGTTGTTCTATTTTATTAATGTAGAGTCTTATGGAACAACTTGCCTTGAGTATAGTTGAGATCACCATAGCAAACACAGGGTAAGTGTGAGCTTTTGTTTCTTACATTCCTCTGGGGTGGCCTTGCTGGCCTGGTGACCTCTGTAACCAAAGTCTTCCTGGAGCTGACCTCTAATATCCTGTCCATGGTGTGGAGTGTTGATGGAAGACTCTGGAAGGGAAGAAATTTGTGCTGCAAGGTAGCATGTTGTACTCGATTTTTGTAGACTTTT